TTTTGGGTTATCCTAGTAAACGACAGATTAATCTAGTACATGGATTGTTTGGAGGAAACCAATTAGCGCAAAAACATGATTGCTATGATGTTAGAGTGTTTCATAACAATTATAGTTATACATTTGAGGCACTAGATCAAAACGTTATATGTAGCGACGTCTCTTCCATATTTAATGGTCCCTGGGTAGAAGAACTTGGTATGTTTAATATAAAACTATCGGACTTGGGTGATGCGTCTCCTATAGAGATTTTAATAGGTGCTGATATTGCTGGAAAACTCTATACTGGGAGGAGGCACATATTGAAAAGTGGATTGGTAGCTGTAGAAACATTATTAGGTTGGACTTTAATGGGCAAGATACCTTTAGGTCAACGGGACAATAATACCACATCGGTTGTATCACTTTTTGTTAAAAATGCTTCAGTTAGTAATCTTTGGGAGCTAGACGTTTTAGGCATTGGTGATCCAACTGAAAGGAAGTCATGTGAAGAAACTGCGCTAGCAGCCAGGAAACTTTTCTTTGAAACAGTGTCATCGGATTCTAGTGGACGATATGAAGTGAGACTCCCATGGCTGGAAGGACATCCAGCATTGCCGAGCAACTACCAAATTGCAAAAAGGAGACTCGAGAGCACATTTAAGAAAATAACGAAAGACGGATATCTTGAAGCCTACGACCAAATATTTAAGGATTGGTTGGACGAAGGTATAATTGAAGAAATATCCGAGGAGCAGCCTAGCCAAGAATGTCATTATTTACCCCATAGACCGATAATTAAGCCAAATAGCTTATCTACAAAAATCAGACCGGTCTTTGATGCTTCGGCCAAAGAAAAACACAGACCTTCTTTAAATCAGTGTCTTGAAAAGGGGGTTAACCTGATTGAATTGATTCCAGCTATTTTGTTGAGATTTAGACAAAAGGAAATTGGTGTAATCTCCGATATTCGGAAAGCATTTTTGCAAATTGGCCTGCATAAAGCTGACAGGGATTTTCTTCGCTTTCTCTGGATAGATAAAACTGGAAAAGAAAGGATTTACCGTCACTGTCGAGTTGTATTTGGAATAAGTAGTAGTCCATTTTTATTGGCAGCTACACTGGACTATCATTTGTCGCAGATGTTAGAAAAATGCTCTTCGGCACGGCTTAATGTTTCAGAAGACACAATTACAAATTTATCCAATAGTTTTTACGTTGATAATTGTGTTACCAGTGTAAGAAATGAGCAGGAATTGAGAACTTTTATAGAAGAGTCAAACATAATAATGAGTGAAGGCAAGTTTGACCTCAGAGGGTGGGAGTATACTGGCCAAATACAGGATGAAAACCTTGCAGCTTCAACTCAGGTGTTGGGAATAAAGTGGAATAAGAGTGACGACACTCTATTTCTGAATAAAGAGAATGGATATGCAGATCAACTCTTCGATAAACCCGTAACTAAAAGAGTGATACTCTCGCAAGCTCAGCAAGTGTTTGACCCTATTGGGTATACCTGTCCGGCAACGCTGACTCCAAAATTGTTATTACAAAAAACGTGGAACCAGCATCTGACTTGGGATGCGCCGGTTGATTCTACAATAGAAACGCAATTTCGGAATTGGGTCAAAGAGCTGCCGTATTTAGCAGCTATTAAAATTCCTCGGTGGATACATGCACGGCCTAGAGAAGCTGAAGAATTTACTTTGCATACATTTTGTGACGCGAGCAAAGATGCATATTCAGCAGCGATATTTTTAAGAGGTGTCCGGAACGGACAAGTATTTGTTCATATTTTAGCAGCCAAATCAAGGGTGGCACCATTAAAGGCTTTATCAATACCCCGCCTTGAATTGATGGCTGCACTCATTGCCGTTCGATTATACACTACAGTTAGGGATAGTCTTGATATTGAATTGGACGAATATTTCTGGAGCGATTCAACAACCGTACTATCTTGGATAAAGAGAGCGGAGGAATGGACTACATTCGTTTGGAATCGTGTGACAGAGATTCGCAGATCCTCAAGTACTGAAAAATGGCGTCACGTTCCTGGTAAATTAAATCCGGCTGACCTTCCTTCCAGAGGTTGCTCCGCTAAGCAACTGTTGGAATCCAAATGGTGGGAGGGTCCGAAATGGCTTCATCACGATTCAGCGTCTTGGCCTCGAGAAGATATTAACTGTGATGAAGAAGAAATAAATAAGGAGAAGAAAAGAAAACTAGTTACAGCTCTAATAAATAGGGGGCAAATTATTATGACCTCGAATGATTGGCACTTTGATTACTTCTCTCAATATTTGAAAACGTTGCGAATGTTCGCATGGATTCGTCGTTTTATTCATAATACAAAGAATAGGGACGATAAACGCGCGGGGGAGTTAACCTTAGAGGAAGTTGACAAAGCCGAAGTATTTGTGCTTAAAGTGATACAGCAAGAGTCATTTACGAACGAAAAAGACAATAGATTATCGGGAATGAACGCTTTTAAGGATGAGCATGGACTAATTCGCTTACAGTCGCGTATTAGTAATAGAAATGACCTAGAGTATTTTCGGTTTCCTATAGTTTTACCGGCAAAACATTTTTTAGTGAATAGGTTGTTATTCCGGGAACATGTTAATTCGTGTCATATTGGAACTCAAGGACTCACGAGTATCGTGCGCGAACGATATTGGATTTTAGGTGGTCGACGGGCGATAAAATCAGCCATCATTAAGTGTGTCGTCTGCAAAAGGCATAATGCGAAGCCATTCGGGGCAAGTGCTCCGCCGTTACCAGTAGATCGCGTCCGGGACGCGGTAGCATTCGAAACGACGGGCGTAGATTTTGCGGGACCGCTTTACCTAGCCACCGGAGGAAAAGCATGGATATGTCTTTTTACGTGTGCCTTATATCGTGCTGTACATGTCGAACTTTGCACCTCGTTGTCAGTCGCCTGCTTCATGCAGGTTCTAAGACGTTTTATTGCCAGACGTGGTCGTCCGAGGCCTATATACAGTGATAATGGAACTAACTTTGTCGGAACTGAGAACACGTTTTCTCGAGTAGACTTTCAAAAAATAGCTGAGAACAGTATTAATGAGCGTATCTACCCCATGGAGTGCCCAGCAGGTTTTTCTCAGACGCTAGGCAATGACCGAACGGACAACACGGGAGAGACCGAAGACAGAGGATCTCGTTTAAGTTTATGTGAAGGCGCGGAAGTGAGTGCCTCCGAAAACGACGCGGAAACGGGAGTGTCTGAAAGCAGAGTACCCGAAACGAAAAAAAATTGTTACGCGAAGTGGGCGCAGCGTCAAAACTCCTGTGCGATACGCTAACGAGTAGATTTAGTTTTTGCTTAATTATATTTCGAATTTTGTCTGTTATGGTTTTATGTTATTTGCTGTAGTTTTGTTTACTTTTGTGCCAATATTAATATTGTGAGCCATGTTTACTTTTGTAAAATGCCTCAGGTGGGAGGATGTCACAGCCATTTGATAATTATTTTGTTTGTATACCGCTTTAAATGCTGAAGTTAAAAATCTCTTATTAAAATTCAAAGAAAGCTTTAGCTATAAAACCTTTTTAAATCATAACAATCTTTCCACTTGTCGGCAATAATTTTTATATTTTATCGCCATCACTTCAATTTATTTTCTTTATTTTAACGCGTAAGTGGTGTAATAAAAATTGATGAGGTTCACACAGTTGACTAAGACTCTGAGGGCTGAACGGTCGATGTTTCCGTGGCGTAAGATTTTTTAATTTTGTCTATGTATAGATTGATGCTTATAAGTGATAATTTTTGTTACATCATTTTTTAAAAGCACGCGATATGTTTTGTTGGGAACTGGCAAATATAGATTTTCAATAATTTTTGAAGTTTAATTTTGCAATATACGAACCGTGTATTTTATACGCAAATTCGGGTAGAATTGCGTTGGTACACACTTGACAATGGTCACGTGAAGCGATTGAATGAAAATAGATGGCCAAAGAAAGCTTTACATTACGTACCACAACAAAAAAGAAGAAGGGGAAGGCCTTCAGCCTGGGAAGAAAATGTACGGCACATAATGAGAGATAGAGCCATCAAAGAAGACGAATGGATGGCCAGAAAATGATGGCGGTCGAAATGCGAGAAGCGGCAGAGGCTGTAGGAACCTAGTAGTGTTTCGTACATTGGATTAAATCCTTAGAAAAACGAAAGCAAAAGTTATCGGAGGAGGTAGAGAGTCCAATATTGGGCGAATGAAGCTGATATAGATACGATTATATGGATAGATCAATTTAATTGTCAGATTGTTGAGTAATTTTATTCTTTCAAACATGATGATTTTAATTTTAATTCTAGCAGATTGTTGTCAATACTAATTCTGTAGAAATCCAGCACCTTGATCCTTATTTCTTAATAAATCTCTTAAAACATCGATAAAATTAGATACGTTGCGTGAATTTTCTGTCGAAGATCCGTAAAATCTTCGTGATTGAAAAGCAATAAATGCCATACATTTCATTGTCTGTTTACGATCAAAACAGGATTATAGAAATAAAAAATAATTCTTTCGATAACATAACGATATTAAACAGTTTATATATTTTTAAAATATCTTTATAGCTTGGAACAGTTGAGATGTGCAGGTCAGATATTCAAGAAATAATTTTATAAGGTAAGACAATTTAATTTCTATTTTATATCTGGTTTTAAAATGCCTGACAGCAAAGTAACCGTTCTATCACCAAGTATCACAATTGTAGCGACTTATTTACGTAGTCATATTTCCAATGTAGACATTTTCCGCTAAGAGGAAAAGACATCGACGAGTCATAGGCGTGCGGTTATTATTAAAAAAGTTATCAGGATTTTAGAACGAATTGATTGTCATAAAAATTATTTTCTTATTTTATAGATGCCTTAGAAGAAGAAAACTAATCCTCGTTAAATATAATTTTTTGGGAAAAACTCTTTATCCGTTTAAATTAACAAACTTATGACTGTTTGGAGGATCAAATTTAATTCCTATTGATTTAATAACATGGGATTAGAAAAGGGCCGTCTAGTACCTTTTAGCAGAGGTAAAATTAAATTACTCAAACAATTTTTGGTACGAAATAGTAGGAGGAAGTAGTCCACAGTACAACAATTTTTAGTCATTTGAGATTTTTTCACAACTTTTTGGCCTTTTTTGACACAATTGGCGTTTATTTTACAAAAATACACAACAGAAATAGATTTAAACTTGAAAACATAAGCGTAAATTTTTTTTTATTTTTTTGACGTTGCAAAATGTCTCACTGTGTCCCACAGTGGTCCACACTGAGACACACAGTGGTCTACAACGAGACATCGCTCTTTGTTTCTCCATGTAACACTGATACATTTAAAATCCTCACTAATTCTTGCGATAAAGTACTAGCAACTTCAGGAACGTTTGGATAAAAGAACTTGTTCGATTGTTTTTTTCTTCTCAGATAATTGATCTCATGTTTGAAATAATCGGAAATCGGTTAGTCAAAATTTGGCCAATACAATATATCACTGACTTTTTGCTTGCGAACTTTACGAGAACATAGTCATCAATGACTGCATTTGTATTCAGTTCGTCGAATCATATTTAGATGAGCTGTTCAGGGATTCTGCTTGATCACTTACGAAATGTAAACACAAAGACAAACACTTTAACTGTAGTGTAGTGTGATGTTTAAGTTTATGTTTATAACATTTTATTCTTGTTGAATAGGCCACAATTGATGAAATGGCCTTTGAAGATGCTCTAGGGAGAGAAAGTACTTGGTCAAGATTAAATTAATAAAACTGTTCTCGATATCCGGCCTTTTATTTGATCAAAGTTCATTTATTCGAGCATTCAACCTTATATCAACTTAATTTATTAATCGACACTTGATTCAGACTGTCCTTTTAAATCTCAAATCGGCCGTTTTTATACCTCATTTTGTTTATCTTGAAGCTTCTGCCCGCTTCTTGACCTTCGGTCGGAACGCCAGAATTATTCGACCCTCATCTGGAAAGTTCCAATCACAGGTATAGGAGAAGACCCGTGGGCATTACCTGCTCCGGCTTTTAAAAAAAAATTGTTAGAAAAATATGTTTACAGCTTAGGGTATGAGTCACATTTATCGTAACAGATAATTCAAAACAGTCGCAAATTCATGAAATATACTTGTCGTTATAATATAATGTCGTTTATTTGGGAGATTTTTATAAGGATAGTCAACTTGTTGCTATTGTAAAGATCTTTTGCTATGTTTTCTGAATAATAAAAACTGTATGGTAGGTATATTCTATTTAAAACCTTTCTATTTTTCAGGTAAAACAATGACTCCGCTTTCGTTTTTCTCCGTACTACTAGTTTTTCTACCTTTTGTCTACCTTCAAGAGTACCGTTTACCAACAACTGTAGTACCGTCACATTATGCATTGTCCTTCACGTTTAACCGACAAGTATTTACTGGAACTATATTCGAGTTCAGTGGATCGACGGTTATTACAATAAGAACAACAGAAAGTGTAACTAATATTCAGTTGCATGCAGATCCATCGTTCATTCGTATTGAAGCCATCGCTTTGGATCAGGGTGGCGAAGTTGATAGCTACAATATGAATGATGTTACTCAAATTTTAACAATAACTACTAAAGCAGGTAAGCCATTTTCGTTTTTTATATATTTCATTATGGCACAAAAGTGACCAATAATGATCCGAAAACAACTAATTCAATTACCTTTGTAGCTCTAACTCCCGAAATCGAATATAAGCTAACCATAACTTACAAAGCGGACATCAGTACCAAAGAAATGATAGGACTTTATCAAAGTACGTATCAAGATGTCAGCCAAGCTACAAATTATCTAGTGGCTACCCAATTTGAGCCTACATACGCTAGAAGAGTCTTCCCTTGTTTTGATGAGCCGTCCTTTAAAGCAACTTTTCAAGTCAGTTTCACTCTTGGACCAAATATTATTCCAAGGACAAATACGAAACTTGAATCATCTAATCAGATAACGTAAGTTTTGCGATGTGATATTATTTTGATCGAAAATAAGTCTTCCATATATTTAGTTTTATCTGATTTAGTCAGATCTTAATAAAGATTTAACAAACGTAAACAGAGAATAAATAATACTAACAAAAACATGATGATCATCATCATCATCATCAGGCGGATAAGTTGGTGAGTGGTAGGGCACTCTGTTGTCCTGAGACCAAGAAATCGGTCTCAAAGGCGGAGGAACCAAGAAATGGTCAACGGCATCAGGATGTAGAAGGCCAGGAGAAACCACTACATTAAAGATTCTTGTGGATATCTCTAGTACAGCTTCCCATGACAGAGGAAGAAAGTTTGCATACTGTTAATGATCATGGACTTCGGAATCCAAGATCCGACAGGAGTGGAAGATCACAACCAGACCACGGGGCCTATCAGATCGTAAACCCACGAAAACCCCTGTCGTGGAAGTCCACAAGATAGCTACGTGGAACGTCACAAATATGTTTGAAGGCGCGAAGTTACACAATATTCAGATGCAAATGGCCAGAATAGAATTCCTATCCTAGGTATCTGTGAGACGAAATGGCTAGGGTCAAACATATTCAAGAGCAATGGATACATTGTCTACCCCTTGGGAAAGGCAGAAATTTCATTCTTTTCAATGATCGCATCATGATGATACAGCTGCAAAATAAATTAAGAAATATTAATATAATACACCAAAAAGTCTATACACCAAAAGCTGACAAAACAGATGAAAAATTGAGCAATTCTACAACCAAATTAAACAAATTCTCCGGAGCACAAAAAAACATGAAGCTACGATTATTATGGGAGACTTCAACGAAAAAGTTGGTGTAGAAATAACACAAGATATAACCGGAAAGTATGGACTAGGAGAAAGGAACGAAAGAGGGCAGAGACTAATACAGTTCTGCTAAAAATAAATTGCATTACAGCAAATACTTCGTTTCAACAACCTAAAAGACGACTATATACCTGGAAATCTTATATATGTCAGGAAATACCTGACGAAATTAGTAAAATAAAGAGAAAATGAAAAAATTAAAAAGTGGAAGCTCTTTGACACATTAAAATTTTCGAAAAATATTTTTTAAAGATGAAGCTGCCACAGTAAGCAAGCATATAACATTCTTATCCGTATTTTTTGTTCTATTACCTAGCTTATCTTATTTTTTGTTATTTTTAGACCAAACATTCTTCAATATACATTTGTGACTACTCCAGTCATGTCAACATACCTGCTGTCTTTTGTTATATCAAATTTAGACTGTAGCGAAGCTTTTACCATAAATGGAGTAGAAAATTCTGTTTGCTCTAGACCAGACACTGCGAATTTCAGAGGTTGGGCTGTGGATATTGCTCCAAAAATACTTGCAAGTCTTGGTGAGTACACCCAGTTGGACTACAACTTGGCTATGAACAAAATGGATTATGTTGCGGTTCCTGATTTTTCTGTCGAAGCTATGGAAAATTGGGGGCTTTCTACTTATAGGTAAGAACTTGAAAATTAATTTAAATCTAAAGTTTGGTATGACATTATAAGTGAAGTAATCTTCTCTGTATATATAAAGTAAATAAGTTCTTAAATTAAAAATCTGTTCTTTTAATTTCTCATCTATATCCATCAGAGTTCTTTCTCTAAATATCGCATTAATATTACTCTTCTTCTGCATTAAGAGGGAGATGTTTTTCTGTCTTTATGAGGCGGGGACTTTTATTATTAATATTTTATTATATCATATCCACAGGGAACAAAACTTACTATATGACCCTGAACATTCAACAAATATCGACAAACAAAATGTAGCTACACTACTTGCACATGAAATAGCTCACCAATGGTTTGGCAACCTGGTAACTTGCAACTGGTGGTCAGAAACATTTTTGAACGAAGCTTTTGGTGACTACTTTGAGTATTTTGCTGTACATATGGTAAGTAAAAATATAATTTATGCAACAAGTGCTTATATTTGTTAAACTTCAAAATTTCCTATTAGCTTGCAATCTGCCACTTGTACTTAGGCTACATGTTGTGAAGTGCATTAAAGCATTTGAAATGTGGACTTTACAGAGACTGATACGAGCAGTACGGACCCATTCCTAGATCTGATCTGATCCTAGATCTGATACCGAACTCCTAGACATCTTTAAGAAAAAAAATTCGTACATTTGCCGTATCTTGGAGGAAGCAAATAATGTACCAAACTTATCTTATTAGGAAATGTACGGAGATACCTAGGTTTACAAAGAGAACAACAATGCTGGTTAAGAAACATGAGAGTCTGGTATTGTTCTGAAGCTATTTTCTTGTGGCATTGTAAATTAATTACTATTAAACTGGGAATAAGCCACAATTAAAGATAAAAATACGTTTATTGACGTTTCAATTTCCACTTCGGAAATCGTTCTCAAAATACAAACAGTAAATTAAACAAATTTTGTTTTTTGTTACATGGTGAAAAATTCTTCTAATAATTTAATTTTATCTGACTCATTTATATTGACAATTCAGACATACATTATGCATTTTAAAGTAGACGACTTTAAAATGATATTGCCAATATTGTTGAGTTGCGCTCCTGGGACGACTTTACTTATAAGTTAGTTCATTCGATTACATGAAATCAACTTTAACTTGAGAATATCCGCCAGAAAAAAATCATAGCATGAAATTCGTCTTTAAAAAGACAAACACATGACATGATGACAGTAAAATTCTCTGTTAGTGATTCCATAGTAAATTATGAGGGAAAAACCAGGAAAAAAACCTCATAATACTATCCCGACATTGTAAGTATTTGTTCGTGAATTTAGTTTACCTTCAACAAACATCAAAATTCTGATTTTATATGTTACGTTATTTAAAAAACATAAATGATGTATCCTCTATATGTTACTGACTTACTAATACTGGCATTTTCTTATTAATAACTTCCTCTTTCAATATTGGTAACCAGATCCTACTACATTCTGCCGAGGAATTTGCGACACAATTGGCCTCATTTAGCATAATTAGAGCCGCTTCTTTGATTTTTCTTTTTTTACCATCCGTTTCTTTTAGGACTACATTTAAATTATTCCATTGAACCCTATGTTCATTATCCCATGCGTGTTTACAAATTTGAGATCTATCAAATTCTCATGAACAATATTCAAAACAACAAACACGTTGAGATCTATTTTGTCCAAAACCAAACCTAACAATGAACAAGAAAGGACAAAGAATTGCATTTATAAAATACCTTGTGAATGCGATCAGTTTTATTTAGGTGAATCATCAAGGCCATTAAATGTTAGAATAAGTGAACATCAATCTTATATTAAAAATAGAGAATTTGATAGATCTCAAATCTGTAAACACGCATGGGATAATGAACATAGGGTTCAATGGAATAATTCAAATGTAGTCCTAAAAGAAACGGATGGTAAAAAAAGAAAAATCAAAGAAGCGACTCTAATTATGCTAAATGAGGCCAATTGTGTCGCAAATTCCTCGGCAAAATGTAGTACGATCTGGTTACCAATATTGAAAGAGGAAGTTATTAATAAGAAAATACCAGTATTAGTAAGTCAGTAACATATAGAGGATACATCATTTATGTTTTTTAAATACACGTAACATATAAAATCAGAATTTTGATGTTTGTTGAAGGTAAACTAAATTCACGAATAAATACTTACAATGTCGGGATAGTATTATGAGGTTTTTTTCCTGGTTATTCCCTCATAATTTACTATGGAATCACTAACAGGAGAATTTTACTGTCATCATGTCATGTGTTTGTCTTTTTAAAGACGAATTTCATGCTATGATTTTTTTCTGGCGGATATTCTCAAGTTAAAGTTGATTTCATGTAATCGAATGAACTATCTTATAAGTAAAGTCGTCCCAGGAGCGCAACTCAACAATATTGGCAATATCATTTTAAAGTCGTCTACTTTAAAATGCATAATGTATGTCTGAATTGTCAATATAAATGAGTCAGATAAAATTAAATTATTAGAAGAATTTTTCACCATGTAACAAAAAACAAAATTTGTTTAATTTACTGTTTGTATTTTGAGAACGATTTCCGAAGTGGAAATTGAAACGTCAATAAACGTATTTTTATCTTTAATTGTGGCTTATTCCCAGTTTAATAGTAATTAATTAGAGTCTGGTGTATTAAACACGTAGCTGCATATTTCGAAGTGCTGAACAGCACTCTACAAACTGTCTAAAGAATACAGTCTACCACCAACATGCGGCTTAGCATAAGTCACAGGAAGAAGAAGGAGATTTAAGTAGTAAATATTGAAAACTCGTGGTTGAGTTTACCTTTGCTTCATCAAGTTTTCATCCAATTATTTTACAAACAATTTATGATATTCAATCTTAATGTTATTTTTTCTTAAAGATCCTACCTGACTGGCAACTGGACAAACAGTATGTAGTCAACAACGTTCAGAAAGCACTGAGGGCCGACGAAGGGAACCTACCAGCGCTACAGAGCTCTGTATCAACTCCTGTAGAGATTTTAGGAAGATTTAATGTAGTTTCCTATACTAAAGGTAGCAAATTTTGAATAATAAATAAACTTTACAGAGTAATTAAGAAAAAACTATTAACGAATGTTTTTTTTTAATATTTGTTAACGATTTTATATCATAATCTTCATTTATTTACTATAATGTGTTGTGGACTTTTTGGTAGATTTGGTGTGGATTTTCGCAGGCTTTCTGTTTTAATTTGCTTCCCCCATAACGTCATGGTAAAAGTCTGAGCCTTATGCCTTGGGTCTAAAATTAAACAGATACAATAAATCCAGTTGCTCTTCTTATAATGTTTAAGCATTTTGTCTCGACCTACTTGAAAACCAAGAATGAGCATTTTATCCATTCAGATCGATTAGGTTTCTTATCTAATTGTTTTACGATGGATTCAATTGTATCGAGCAAGAGATTGAATGATATAATCACTAGTGGTAATGTAACATATTTTTCTCCACCAAGTTTTGTTGACAAAAGTTTATTAGAAACTTATGTACTTTTTCGAGTATTTGCCATTCACTATCTGTGATGTTAAAATCGTTCAATTCGGTGACAGATGTGCACAATATGTTAATGCCAGTTCTCACTTTTAAACCGAATCCAATCATATCATGTGTGGAATTCCATCTAGTTGGGCAGTCGAGTATGGGATTCAGATTTGATGGCTTGTCAGCTGCTTCACAAGCAGACTGGAACTTCATCTTTTCCTTTTTGTGGAAATATTTTAGATGCTTCCTCAAACCTGAAGTGTTTCTGTTCTTAATTTTTATTTCAACCTTTCTATGTTGGCACAATTTACACAAAGCAATTTGGGATGCATGACTTATTTCGATAAATTCATCAAATTTGCTTTTAGGTCTTTTAGATCTATGACTCCAACATCTCATTACTCCGACTAGAACTATTTAAATCACTCATGTCAAATTCTCAACTCATGTCAAATTGTAAACTTTTTACTGATCACCAAGAACAACAAGGATTAGATAAAAAAACAATTATTGCATTAGACTCGAAGGAAAGCTTGATTGAGAATGAAGTTTAGTGATGTCGAAAAAGTAATTACTCGTTACTTTATACTCGCTACTATCCAATACCCTAAACCGAATAAAAAACCGAATAACAATTAACGTTATGTTTTTTATTTACATTCTAATCGGCATTATCTCTTTGTTTGTTTATCTCGTTACTTTTGAATATTAGCCGCATTCTTTCAGCAAATTTTGAATGATATCATTGCATACTCAGCAAAAAAAATGTTTAGTCTTAGACAGGCCATTCACGTTCCGACTTGTGGTCCCACTTAGTAGGACTACTAGTTGGATGTTTGTCTCCACTCACGCTCCGACTTTCTATCCAACTAGCGGTCCAACTTCCGTTCTAGGATGTATCGAATAAACACTACGCAAAATATAATTAGGAGGAGAAAAATGACAGCACTGTGCTTGCTATCTTTATATGTATGTTATGATAATTTAAAAATTAGGTTTAGTTTCTCTATGTATTTGTCTAGGGCTGAACTAATTAATTTTTTCAACTCTTGATTTTTATGACTTTTTAAGATGTAGGAAAAAATTATAGTTTTTAAAGATTTGTATAGGTATAAAATCTATATTTTATTTGTTTTAAACTGGAGCTGGGATTTATTTTGTTGTGTGTGTGTCGTATATTTTTAATAGGAATAATTGTTCGTGCAATTGAAAGTTATTTTCTATTATTTTTTTGCGAACTAGGGATCTTTTGCTACAACTATGATTTAATTTTCATTGTTTGTTGATAATTCTTCCGTAGCCAATCCGGAGTATCGGAAATTTACCTGTATAGGAATGTCCGAAATAGATCTACAGAAAGGAAAATTATTTGCCCTAACAAAAAGGTAATTTTCGTGCAATTGAAAGTTTATTTTCTATTAAATAGGTATTCGCGAACTAGAGATCTTTGCGTAAAGTATTTCATAGAAATCTTATACGTAACAGGTGCCGAAAGTCAACTGACTGAGGAAATTTTCGATCCAACCTGTGATCCGACTTCCAACTTCACCATTCACGCTCCGACTTCGTCGCCAGTCGGAAGTCGGATCTTCAAGTCGTCCCACTAGTCGTACCACTAGTTGTCCAACTAATCCAACTAGCCCACTCACGGTCCGATTTCAGATCCAACTGCAGAAGTTGGACCCCTAGTCGTACCACAAGTCGGAACGTGAATGGCCTGCTTAAATTATAAGGAAAAAAATATGATAACCTAATTATATTTTCGAGGTTTCGATACGATATTACTGTCGGCGTCGTAAAGCAAAGATGTTGTTTTATTATTAGAAGGGGCTATTCTTAAAATCTGGGCAATTAATTTCAGAGCTAAGAAGTAGTGTGCTGGAAAAGAATGTTTAAAATATTTTATTTTTTAGTTTGTAATTATGACCTCTGAGTACGTGTCAATTTTTTAAGTGTTCTTGTAATGAATACTTTGATTCGCTATGTTTGTTTATGGTATTTTTCGTAATGCACAAGTCAAATTTTCCAAATTTTTGTTAATACTTCTTTGCGTCTCCTAGAGTCTCTAAGCATACACCCAACACCAGAACTAGTATACTCCCTAAAACCACACTCAGTCCTAACTGCAAGATGCAAGAGTCTCGCAGGCTTAGTCTTGTTCTTGCTCAAGTCTTTCACGGTTAGTCTTGGTCTCGGTCTTGCAAAAACGCAAGAACAAGACCAAGACTTCAAGACCAAGACCGATTTTGGGCAACACTACTTTTATTAATTCTATATTAATATTCGTGCTTTCCATTGATTGCCACAGCTTCTTCAGTGGAACGCGCTCGTAGGCTTTCCATAGGTCGATAAAAAACATATGAATCTCTTGATTCCGTGCCATCTTTTTTTCTATTATCTGGGTTAAGAAGAAAATGTCGTCAATAGTGGATCGACCCGTACGAAATCCTGTTTGTTCTTCTGCTTCATAATCTAAGTATTCTCTATTCTCTCTAGTTTATGCATTCTTGAAATAGTTGTCGAAGACCCCCGGTCCGGGTGCTTTGTTCCTCTTCAGCTGTTTACATACATTTTTAATTTCTTCTGTTGTTAATCTTATTTGCGAGTTGACTATTCAAATTTTATCTTGGTTTTGATTTCTATGTTCTTTAAATTCGACTCTACTCTCTACCAAAAGTTCTTTGAAACACTTTTCCTAGTCTTCAGGTTTTATGCTCAGTATTACCTCTTTATTCTTTTCTTTTTTCAATTTTTTTTTATCAGTTTCCAGCTTTCTGTGCTTTTGGTTCCTCCTAGATAAGTATTTATTCGTTGGCAGTTTCTTTCCCAAGACTCGTTCTTCTTCTTAGAGATTTTCCTTCGTACTACTGCTTGTTTCGTTTATACTTCATTTTGTCTTGTTATGATATTATATTCATATACAAACCAGAAATCAAATGACTAAAAATAATAAAAAAATAAAAAATAAACGCAAATAAAGTGATTCCTAAGCAGTTTTTCATAAACGTTAACTTTTGCTTATTTTGTTCAATAGGAAGCAGTATTCTGCGAATGGTAGAACATATTTTGGGATCAGAAAACTTTAAAGCTGGGATATACCATTATCTTAACAGTTAGTAAGTATTATGTCGATATTATCATATATATTTAAGATTGCTTTAAGTATTTACTATACTTGTTTTATTTACTTACTTCTCTTGGCACTGAAGATTGTACAGACACTTCCCATCCCTCTTTATCTGTTTAGATTTATCTTCACGTAATTTATCTTAGCGTAATTGCTTCACATCCAGTCTAGGCAAGTCTTGTGATTTTTAGAAGTAACTTCAAAATATGGCTCATTAAGCTGATCGTTCGGAAATCATTGCAGAATATGGATTTTGTTTTTTTTTGCTAGAATAGTAAACGTTAACTTCAGCCATGATCTTGATATTACTCCGTTTAAATATAATGTATTGAATATTTTTGTTAGTCGTTAAGTACCGTTGATATTAAATAGCTCAGACTATGCATTGTCAGGTCCAGGAGCTTTGCCATCTTTTAGTTATGATATTGCTTTTTCCACTTCATCTGATGTGATTGGTAAGTGGTCTTATTCGAACCTATCATCATCAAAGAGTTCTTGTATGAATTTGGTCCATATGCATATTTCCCGATTTTTATCTGTGATGATGTTCCTCTGTTGATCTTGCAGTTTGTTAGCTGTGTTGGATTTTTGAAGACCAGGTGCTTGTTTTTCCCCGTGTAAAGGCGGGTCACTCAAGTAGAATACCTCCACGGCTTTTCCTGCTTCGACTAAATGGAGCAGCTGTCCACTGTCCACTACCCAAATTCCTAACCTGTCCCTGTGTCATACGACCCTCACCCCTACCCATCATACACGTCCTGATACCCAACCCTATACCCGAGGAGAAAACCTCCACTAATACAAAAACCAGTGGAGAAAACCACTAAGAACAAATGGATATGCATATAACAGGCGGCTATGCATCATTCTAATATATCGCCAACCTAACCTCAAGGTGTAACAACATCGTGCCGAAGGTGTGCATGGCCCAAGGGAAAAAGTGGGTCTCAAGCGATGCCCTAAGGAGAAGGCGAACCGAAGGGGATTATAGCCTTGGCGGAGTATGGGCGCACTGCCCCGCTGGACCGAAGAATCGACCCAACTCGTGGAAAAAAAACGGAAAAATACTTAATAAAAAAGAAGGTAAGCGTAGGGGTAGAAGAGCCTATGGAGGATATAGGCGAAGAGAGGCTGGCGACATTAGCGGAAGAGGAAGAAAAGGACAGTCGGGGGAGAAAAATGATGAGCAAAAGGAGAAGAAAGAAGAAGAAAACGAGTACGTAGGTAAAACAGTGGAGGAGAATGGCAGTGAAAACGAAACGGGGGATAGTAATGACGAGAGTGAATGGACGACCAACATTAACAAAAAAAAAGAAATTGCACGGAGAGAAAGACATAGGAGCTGGTGGAAATAAAAATGAAAGTAAGAAAAATTTAGAAAAAATTAAAACAGAGAAAGGAATGTCAAAAATGAAGGGATGCATCGACGAGTTAGTGAACCTAACAAAGGCGGTGGCAAATCCAACTAATGAGATAAAACAGGGATTCGCAAAAGTACGGCAGATTTGGTGCGAAATGGAAAACAACATTAGAGAGCTAATCATCATGGAACTGGTGGAGGAGATGTTTAGGTCGTCAGATCGGTGGAGAGCAGTTCAGAGATATGTGAGGAAAACGAAGACAGGCAGGGTCCCCAGAACCAAGCATGAAGATAAGGCAGAATGAGAAGGAGCGAGATTATCCATGATTAGGAAGAAATAGAGGAAGAGAAGAATTCCATCGTAGGGAGAAAGTGCTAGCATACGTGAGAATTGTGCGTGAATGAAAGTTTGGGTGAATGCCTTGCCGATGTTGCGTCCCAATCAGGGCGATCCAGCCAATAATTCACCGCTGAGGACGGTGTTTTTTTAGCAGGTAGGTCTTTGGCATTGACGGCGATGGTGTCCGAATAACCCTAGCGCGCGTCCTCGGATATTAGTGTTGCCACGCTGGATGAGTCCTGCATAACCGAGGCTGGAAGGTGGTTCTGCCCTTCTAGAACCGAGGTATGTTTCGAGGTATGCTTGTTTTACCTTTTTATGCATATTAAATTTATCATGTTTTTGTTCCAACAACTCTACCTCTTCACACTGTGTTTTTAACCAATTTTCTTTGGCCTTTCGTATTTCGGTTCTTATGTCTCTAAAAATTTTTGAACTTTCTTTTGTTATTCTTTGATTTTCTTCTTTCTTCCATAAGTTGCAATATATTGTCATTCATCCACCTTTTCCTCTCCTCTTTATTTTTTATTAGATGTTCTTCTCTGATCTTCTTCTATATTATAATCAAGCGAAATCTTAAGTGGCTAAGGTATATAGCCTGGGGCAAAGAATCTAGTGTGATAAAAATAATTACCACCGTACAATTGATGGGAATGAGCTAACTGGACAAAAAAGTTTAGACCAAAGATGGTAATCCCAGAAAAAAATTCAAGCATATAATAGAGCGCTATAGCGCAGAAATAGAAACCTGAGAAGTTCGAGCTCCTCTAAGATTGTAGCCCTTAGATGATGATGAAGTTTCTCTTTTTTGGACGAATGTTTTAACAATAATTGTCAGCAATCAGTATCTATCTCAGCCATCTATATATTTTTCTATCTAATAAATCTAAATTGTATACTGCTGAACGTATGCCTCCACAAGTTTTCCAGTCTATTTCATCGAGTGCCGTTTTTAATCAGCTCTCATCAATTCTCTTTATCTCATCGGTTCATCTGCTGGATGGCCTGACTCTATTTCTGCACGTTGCGTGTCACGCACAACGTTCTATTACAATTTTTGTCCACCGCCCATCTGTAATTCTACCAGCATGTCCGATTCAATTTCATTTTAGAAGCAAAATAGCCTAATTTTTTATTTTATTCTTCTAGCAAATTTAAAAATACTGCGTCAAGCGATTTGTGGAGAGGTTTCCAAGCTTATTTAGACAATTCTTATTCCATTTTACCCAACTATCTAAATTTGGGAGACGTGATGAACAATTGGGTCGTACAATCAGGATTTCCGTTACTAACGGTTACGATTAACGGAGAAAATTTACAGATTCAACAAGTAAGTACACAAAATACATAATCTAATCTAATACTATATGATACTGTTCAGTCAAAAAGATGAAAAAACGATTTAAAATATTTTGTCGTGTTATTATATACAATTATGTATTTAAGAGAAGATTTGGCGAAACAGGAAGTGACGATAATACCAAATGGTACGTCCCTATTACGTTCATCACTTCTGGCACATCTGGAGTGCCAGCGACTCGTCCAAGCTATTGGTTAACTCCCCAGGAAAACGTAGCCTTTCAGTTGCCGGAAGGTGCTGAATGGATTATCGTTAACAATCTTCAAACAGGTAAAAATATTTTACTAGATTCGTTAATATGAGCGCGATCAGATTAAAGCAACAAATAAACCATTTTATATAATAGGTACAAAGTTTATCTAATGTGCTAAATCTTCTAAATATCTAAATACAACTTGTTTCCATGTGCTTTTTCCACTCTATTTCTCTTTTTCAGGGTACTATAGAGTTAATTACGACACCGCTACCTGGAATAAGATTGAAGAAGTATTCAAAAGCGACAATTTCGGCAGCATTAATGAAATTACTAGAGCACAGATAGTAGATGACTTGTTCAGTCTTGCCAACATAGGAGAAATCAGCTATTCCAGAGTTTTGCAGTTTTTGGAGTTCCTATCTGAAGAAACTTCATATTTTACATGGACGTCAGCTTTTAACGGCTTTCAATTTATCTTTGACAGACTTCAAAATCAGTCCAATTTAACTGAAACTATTACGGTAAGAATTGCTAGATAACCATAAATGCACACCAAAACAATTTTACCTTTAACTTAATCATAAATTTTTTTATTTCTACCTATTCAATTTTTTCTACATTACTCTCAAAATCGATATTTAAGTCCACACTTTTTGTTCAATGAAAATTTTGGATAACGAAAAACAAAATCGTTCGCTCTTAAATTGGTTCTTGTAGAAGATGTCCTTTTCTCCTCTCAAGTGAACGACTACTCAAAAAGAAACAGTATCGAGTGTCATCATCATCATCATCAAGCCTTCATTTATCACGTCCACTGCTGGTCATAGGCCTCCCTTAAACTCCTCCATACTTTGCGATTAATACCGAGTGTACACGTGATAAAGTATCGCGAATCCGCAACAGACAAACATCGGGCATACTTTAAAGACAGATCAAACTCATACGATAAATCACCGCGTGAAAAGAAATTGTAAAAACAAAATCTATACGCTATATTTTTATTTTCAGACTAATGTTTTGTCTCTCATGGATAAATTGTACCAATCTACATCATTTGATGTTATAGATGACGATAATCAAGTGTTTACTCTTAAAAAAATGCTGACATTTAGCTGGGCTTGCCAATTGCGCCATCCTCAGTGTCTCGTAATGGCACGTGCTTTGTTCTTGTCCTATAAATTGGGTGGAGTAAAGTAAGTATTAGTATTTATTAGAAAGTACAATAAAAAGTCTTTTTTAATTATTATTATACTAAAAATTCATGTCATAAAAGGTTATTAGTAATTACTGTTATAGTTTATTTTTATAAACGAGAGAGTAATTAGCATAATTTTAACTGGTATCTCCGACCACTCCATGGGCGTGCTCAAGATTAATTGAAAAATTACTTTGAATAATTGTAAAAAATAAATGAATTATTTCAGTGTTATAAAGTGTTATGTGTATGTAAACAAAAGTGACCTCTTTTATCACACACTATATTAGAACTGACTGGCCTACATTAAAAAGGGTTTTAAAAAATTCACATTTTTTTAATTTTTAAAAATTACAAAAGAGAAAAAGAGTTTTTAAAACCGTCTAAGGTATGTTAAATAGATGAATAAAAATATTAATATAAAACTTACAGCTACTTGTTACAAATCCAAATCAGATTCAGAAGATGAACTTTCAGAACCAAGATTTATAATAACTGGCTCGATCATTTTATCAGTAATATTGTCCAGCTTCCACATTTTTTCCTCTTCTTTAATAGTGTGATTTACTGCCTTTTCCCAGTTTTCAGGTTTTACATTATTTACGGCCTCCAAAAACAACTGTTTAACATCATGAATTTTAAAAGTGGTATTTTTTCTTGAAACTTCACTCTTTATCTGTGCCCATACCAGTTCAATCGGGTTTAATTCACAATGATATGGTGGGGATCTAAGTGCTGTCATTCCACGATTTTTGGCAATTTCATCAATTTCGTATTTTTTAAATTTTTCTTTATGAAGGGCACACAACGAATAAAGTTCCTTTCTTATAGATCCGGGATGGTACGTAATATTTTTTGAACTCAGCCAATTCTGCAAGTCTTTTTTTAACCACTTGGTTGTGGGCAGTCCTTCTATAAGTCTGGAGTGATAACTTGCATTATCCATTACTATTACACAGTTCTTAGGAAGAAGATCTATCATTTGTTCGAACCATTCTTGAAAGACATCAGCGTTCATGTCTTCATGGTAGTCACCGGTACGAGTTGATTCAAAAGTTAATAAACCACCTTCAACAAAACCGTCTGAACTGCCAATGTGTACTATTATCAGCCTGCGTCCCTTTTCTGATGGTGGGTTTAAACCAGTAGATAAGTTATTTACAAAAGCGTGCCTTTGACTTGTAACAGTTTCATCCTGCCAAAATTTATTTGGTGTATGACCCTCGTTGATCCATGTTTCATCAAGATAAAATATTTTTCTTTTTTGGTTTCTCATTTCCTTTATGGTTCTTAGAAAATGTCTTCTCCATATGACAATATCGCTTCTTTCTAATAAAATAGACTTTCCGGGATTCTTTTTCCAGCGGAAGCCTATTTCTTTTAAAAGTTTCCATAACGTACTTCGACTCATTTCTGGGTAATCCTTATCATCTCGAACTGAGACAAGAACTTTATCCAATGTTGGAAATTCTTTTCTAAAGAAGAATTCATGCACTTTCCGTCGAAGTCCTTCATTAAAATGATATTCTATTTGAAATTTTGGTTTCCCTGGAGCATTCCGTGGCATTTGAAAACTACCACATTTCTCTTCTTTAATAACTCTGTAAATCGTAGATTTCCCAACACCAAGTGTACTGCTAACTAACTCAACGGTCTCATCAACACTTTCACATAAACGTTCGTTTGTAAATGATTTAAACAATTAAATATTAATGTTTTTTCATTAACTGTTAAAGGACCAATTTTTCGGCGTTTACACGGCACTTCCAAATTTTCCATAACACTAGTATACACAATAAACTGCAACTTGCAACTGAAGTACCTACTTTTAGTGAACTGTTAAGAATTTTGAATACGCCACTTGGACCTTCCTACAAAATGGAAAAACCCACTATCACATTTTCTGTGGAATAAGTTTAGAAGGTAATTATCTAGTCAATTACTGTCGTAGATTCCTGGAATTAAAGAATTAAATGTTTGATTGTTGAAACCCTTACTTCGTGGAATGCACTCATTTCAGATAAAATAAAACGTTTTATTTTATCTAAAGAATTAAACTTTATTTTGCAAATAGGTAGGTACTTATTAAACTTTTATTGGTTATATATAACCAATAAAATAAACATCTTACATTTCTAGCAAATTCATTAGTACCTGTTAACCTCCATCACTCCGATACTGGCAACCTTATTTAGGGATTAGTAACCCTCACAACTATTGTATTCTATTCTGCTCCAACCTTTATACCTGGTGGTCATACTCAATTTAAAATTGTTTTCCTATATACTTCTGTAAACTTGTTGACAAATATCTGTTTTTCATTGAGTCACCCGTATTAACAGTTTAGGGATTTGCATACATAATTTATTGTTTTATTACTCTCTCATACATAAAAATACACTATAGGTAGTCATAACAAGGAGACACTGGAGATCTCTAGAAAACTGAAATCTTGCGGATTAGAGTCAAGAGTTTATAATAAATTAAGTAAATATTCATATAAATGTTATAGTAATAAACTAAATGTGTATATCATACTGAGTAACACTTCGCACTAGTCTAAACAATATTAACAATGTATAACAATAAGGTATAGCTTGCATTTGAAATGATTGAATTTGTCCCTTAGAGGGAGTGAAAGCTGTTTATGTAATAATAATATAACAATAATAATAAGATAGTCAAGATAGACAAGACAGGTAAAAAGATAATAGCTATATGCAAACAAATTCTTAATGCTAATTTTATAGTTTATTTTTATGAACGAGAGAGTAATTAGCATAATTTTAACTGGTACCTCCGACCACTCCATGGGCGTGCTCAAGATTAATTGAAAAATTACTTTGAATAATTGTAAAAAATAAATGAATTATTTCAGTGTTATAAAGTGTTATGTGTATGTAAACAAAAGTGACCTCTTTTATCACACACTATATTAGAACTGACTGGCCTACATTAAAAAGGGTTTTAAAAAATTCACATTTTTTTTAATTTTTAAAAATTACAAAAGAGAAAAAGAGTTTTTAAAACCGTCGAAGGTATGTTAAATAGATGAATAAAAATATTAATATAAAACTACAGCTACTTGTTACAAATCCAAATCAGATTCAGAAGATGAACTTTCAGAACCAAGATTTATAATAACTGGCTCGATCATTTTATCAGTAATATTGTCCAGCTTCCACATTTTTTCCTCTTCTTTAATAGTGTGATACTGCCTTTTCCCAGTTTTCAGGTTTTACATTATTTACGGCCTCCAAAAACAACTGTTTAACATCATGAATTTTAAAAGTGGTATTTTTTCTTGAAACTTCACTCTTTATCTGTGCCCATACCAGTTCAATCGGGTTTAATTCACAATGATATGGTGGGGATCTAAGTACTGTCATTCCACGAATTTCATCAATTTCGTATTTTTTAAATTTTTCTTTATGAAGGGCACACAACGAATAAAGTTCCTTTCTTATAGATCTGGGATGGTACGTAATATTTTTTGAACTCAGCCAATTCTGCAATATTTTTTTAACCACTTGGTTGTGGGCAGTCCTTCTATAAGTCTGGAGTGATAACTTGCATTATCCATTACTATTACACAGTTCTTAGGAAGAAGATCTATCATTTGTTCGAACCATTCTTGAAAGACATCAGCGTTCATGTCTTCATGGTAGTCACCGGTATGAGTTGATTCAAAAGTTAATAAACCACCTTCAACAAAACCGTCTGAACTGCCAATGTGTATTATTATCAGCCTGCGTCCCTTTCCTGATGGTGGGTTTAAACCAGTAGATACGTTATTTACAAAAGCGTGCCTTTGACTTGTAACAGTTTCATCCTGCCAAAATTTATTTGGTGTATGACCCTCGTTGATCCATGTTTCATCAAGATAAAATATTTTTCTTTTTTGGTTTCTCATTTCCTTTATGGTTCTTAGAAAATGTCTTCTCCATATGACAATATCGCTTCTTTCTAATAAAATAGACTTTCTGGGTTTCTTTTTCCAGCGGAAGCCTATTTCTTTTAAAAGTTTCCATAACGTACTTCGACTCATTTCTGGGTAATCCTTATCATCTCGAACTGAGACAAGAACTTTATCCAATGTTGGAAATTCTTACCTAAAGAAGAATTCATGCACTTTCTGTCGAAGTCCTTCTTTAAAATGATATTCTATTTGAAATTTTGGTTTCCCTGGAGCATTACGTGGCATTTGAAAACTACCACATTTCTCTTCTTTACTAACACTGTAAATCGTAGATTTCCCAACATCAAATGTACTGCTAACTAATTCAACGGTCTCATCAACACTTTTACATAAACGTTTGTCTGTAAATGATTTAAAACAATTAAATATTAATGTTTTTTCATTAACTGTTAAAGGACCAATTTTTCGGCGTTTACACGGCACTTCCAAATTTTCCATAACATTAGTATACACAATAAACTGCACCTTGCAACTGAAGTACCTACTTCTAGTGAACTGTTAAGAATTTTGAATACGCCACTTGGACCTTCCTACAAAATGGAAAAACCCACTATCACATTTTCTGTGGAATAAGTTTAGAAGGTAATTATCTAGTCAATTACTGTCGTAGATTCCTGGAATTAAAGAATTAAATGTTTGATTGTTGAAACCCTTACTTCGTGGAATGCACTCATTTCAGATAAAATAAAACGTTTTATTTTATCTAAAGAATTAAACTTTATTTTGCAAATAGGTAGGTACTTATTAAACTTTTATTGGTTATATATAACCAATAAAATAAACAGCTTACATTTCTTGCAAATTCATTAGTACCTGTTAACCTCCATCACTCCGACACTGGCAACCTTATTTAGGGATTAGTAACCCTCACAACTATTGTATTCTATTCTGCTCCAACCTTTATACCTGGTGGTCATACTCAATTTAAAATTGTTTTCCTATATACTTCTGTAAACTTGTTGACAAATATCTGTTTTTCATTGAATCACCCGTATCAACAGTTTAGGGATTTGCATACATAATTTATTGTTTTATTACTCTCTCATACATATAAATACACTATAATATTTTCATGCTATTGAACTAACATCATGCTAATAGATTTATAATTAAATAGGCTCACTAACTCATACCTTTATGGCCATAACAGTACGTAAATATACTTATTAAAAATTAATATTTTTGTAGACCAGAAAAGAACTTGCGTAGCACAGTATACTGTACAGCTCTGCAGACGAGTTCAGAAAGAGAAGATTGGGACTTTTTGCTTAGGGTTCATAACGAGGCCGACCTTGATTCGGAGCGCCCTCTTTTGCTCAAATCTTTAGCTTGTACACAAAATAAAGAGCTTCTACAAGAGTAAGTAGTTATTTTATATTAATAATTTAGTTTTCTTAATTGCGTATTTTGTAGATTGTTGTTGCTGACTATTGCTAGCGATTCTCCCATTGCTCGAGAAGATTGTATAACAGTTCTGAAGAGCGTTGCTGATAATTTAAATGGGGCAGAACTAGCGTTTGATTTTGTAATTAATAATTACAATAATATTATCCAAAGGTAAGTCTCTAAATTTTTTATCAAATGCTTAGTCACAATTTTCTACTCCTTAAATGTACACATGTGTAGATAAGACTCAAAAATATTACATTTCTCTAGAAATATTAAGGTGATCCAGACTTTTTAGCTCAAACGAACAGAACGATATCCAATAGCATGAAGACGATGTTGCTAGGGTTGGTAGGGTGAGAAATGAAGATATTCGGAGATATATGGAAAACGATATATACATCCTTCAATAGAAAATGCTGAAAATCCTGTTGGAGATCTTCCTCGTGATCTTCAATATGAAACTCACCAGGCTTTCGGGTTAAACCGCGTTGATTGCGGTTTCTGCGCCTAGCTTTCGACATCATTGCTGATTTTTTCAGTAAATAGAGAATAGTGTAGAGTCTGAAGGTTTAGGAGACTGGACGAGGGGGGTGAAGTAGACGAGGACTCAGAAAGAAGAGACCTTAGCGATGGAGAATGTCAGCATGGAGAAGAAGATAGAATAAAAGAAGTTATGGGCTATAACTGTCCTAAGTTTTTCAGCTCTCTGGAGCAATGAGATCCTCTGTGGACAATCCTTTGTGGATTCTGGCCTGCTCTAAAATTCGTCGCAATTATGTTCGGTTTCTGACGACGTGATTTTATGATCTTTAATATTACTAACTCTGTCTTAACTCCATCGAACTACCTAATTCGCGGTCGGCTTCTGCTTCTTCATATTGTCAAACATTCGTACTCTGTGCCCAGCTTATCTATGTCGCCGTGTTTTAATGAACGTTACGACATGTGGTTCATTAAAGAGTTAATATAATTCGAAATCATATCATTTGTGCAACTGCTCCTGGCCGTTTATAGCTCCAAATATTTTGCAAAGTATTTTACGCTCTAATATTTCCAAAAGTCTTTTATTTTTCTGTGTTAGAGTCCTTGTTTCTGTCCCATATGTAAGGACCGGCCTCAGCAGTATTTTATATATAATATTAGTTGACAGACCTGTGTTTATTTGGATGCATCTTATTCACACCTCCAAATTCATAGGACGTTACATATTAATACCCATCGGCTCACAGTCTCAGATTAGCAAAGTAACACTAAATTACGAGTATTACTATACTTTGATAACTTTTTTTTTCTTTTCTAGGTACCAAGCTACGAATACTATTGCCCAAATTTTAGAAATAATTAGTGGTGCCATTTCAACTGAAGAACAACTGGATAAGGTAATTAAATAAACGCTTTCTGTCTTAATATTATATTTAGACTAGTTGACCTGACAGACGTCTACCATCTGTACCAATATTATGTCGTCAATTTGACTTGACTAATGACACAAGCAAACCTTCTCAGGGCTTGCTTGTGAAGGAGATCCTCAGTATCCGTCCACCACATTTTAAACGCCTTGAGTTTTCATTAATTGTCTGGGTGGAATATGCTTCTTAGTGATGACCATGTACTTGGTTTTTTTGCTGTTAAAATTAAGCCCGTACTCCTAACTGATTCTCCACAACTGCGTTACTAGTGTCTGTAAACCTTCTAGACAGTCTGCAAAGAGGATGGTGTCGTCTGCATCTGATGTTATTCAGGCGCTCACCATTTATGAGAATACCCTCTTCGATATACTCTAAGGCCTGGCTCATGACGTGTTCCAAATAGACGTTAAATAATAGGGGAGAGAGTATGTAGCCCTGTCGTACTCCTGGTTGCTGACTGGTTATAGTATATGTTCTTGATTACTCGAAGGTCTTTGTTATCCAGACCAAATGCCTTTTGTTTTTGTGTACTAATACCAGTTTTGTGTACTAATATTAACTGTAATACAATTTTTAACTAATTTTAACAGATTCTGTCTATACAACTAGATTCAATTCAAATTCTTTCTTACGAGATAAGAAAGCAAGACTAAAAAAAATAGTAAAGGGGCAGTAATTTAATAAAGTTCCCCTAATTTTTTAATATTGAGAAATATTTTAAACCAAGAATAAAAAAAATTGTTTCCTTATAGTTTATGCTTCAAAGTATGTAAATAATTTTCCCGTTAGCGAAGCGCTATCTGTAGTTAACGTAACAATCAATTGCAATTTTTGTTTTAGTTTCGAGCTTTCATCAATGGTGATCAATTACCCAAAGACTACGTTAACGATGGTGAAAGGGCACTGGAAATTGCGCAGAAAAACATGAACTGGTTGGTAAAATACGAAAATGATCTAATGAATCACTACTATCCACAACCAGACCAACCAGATCCCTCACCAATTACGGGAGAAGGCGTTGCGATAGTTTCGAATGGTTTAATTATTGGATTGATAGTATCATATTTATTACTTTAATTTTTAATTTAAATAATAAGTTAAATAAATAAAACATTTAGTGAGAAATAAACGAATTATGTATGTTAATTGTTATAATTTACTTTCTCTATATTATACAGAAAGACAACAACGCAATTTTGGTCAATAGGATGCTTATGAAGAATTTCTTAACAATGATACATATTTATGTCTTTATATATACATTTACAGAGCCATCTATCCTAATATAAGGAATTAAAGTACATTATCAAGAGATAGCAGCACAATACCTAAATTGAAGTAATCAATACCGGACAGAGAACTGTAGGAATGTATACCGAAGAAGGTAAAAACTAAAAATTGCTTTAGAAAAAGTTACAAACTGGTCACTCAATATTTCGGAAAGTTCATCATAATCACAGCCACTCAATTTTGTTAGATTTAGTTCTGGAACGGCCTTTAGCATTTGGTTATTTGATGGTAGAACTATTCTAGTCATTCATTTTTAAGTATTTTTTTCCTATCCCACATTTGTTTCCCTAGTTCCTGTTTTTCTTGTTTCAAAAACACAAGATGAGGCTTATGTTCAGAAGTGGACCAGAAGATAATATTAGAGAAGAAGAATATTTGTTTAACACTATACCTTAATAATTCTGCTACTACTTAATCTTCTTCTTTACCATTTCTTGCTCAATTTATTACCTTTTGTATTTCCCCCTTGTGTCCTTTTATTTCTTCCTCGTTTTAGAATGAGTTTTAACGTCGAAAAAAAATTTAAACACTGATAATCAGTGACTGTCCAAAGTAACTGAAAATTTACCTAAACATTTTCACTTCCCAAATTCATCTCGATTTGTTTTTATTCAAATGTTTTTTCATCTCGAACTGCAGCACCATCTATTGTGATACAAAGAAGTGAACAATATCATCAGTAGATAGCAGCACAATACCTAAACTGAAGTAATCAATACTAAGGAGAAAGCTGCGAGATTATGTATGAACTAAAGAACGCTTTAAAAAAGATACAAACTAATCAATATTTATTTTGGAAAGTTACAGTTTGTATATTTATTGATAGAGGGACAAAAGTCTTCATGGAATTTAGGCTTTTATTATATAAAAATATTATTCTTTATTATAAAACAAGATGTTTTATTTTTCATGAATACAGTAAAGTTAACACAGGGGAATGTGAATAATATAAATGTGAAAATGTGTAAAAAAATAATGAAAGAATTAAGAGGTATAACAAATACTAATATATTCATAATTCTCTGTGGTCTTCAGAATCAGATATAGGAGAAAGTGGGTATAGTGACCACCTAAACATTTTGGTCTATTTATACCGGTACATAGAATAAAAAAAATTGAAACAGTTTTTCAGACTTCTGCTGGTGGCCATATTTACCCACTACCAAGGGGTATGGCCACTGCCACTATTACCCCCATTTAAAAAATAATTAAATGCAGAAATCGCAAATGTAAATTTTGCCTTCGAAACTGGTACAGTCTTTGTCTCCCATTGGCCGCAAATGTTGCATTGGATCCAGAGTTCTCTGTTTTCACCGAATTTTCCACAAATTGTGCAAATATCCTCGTTAACGTCCTTATCACGGTCATCGTCATCATCCTCATCTTCAGATGATATATCTTCTGCGATCTTTTGTGTTCTTATACAATTTCTTTTTGGAACTATTCGCGGAGGACTGGACTCTTCGACGCCTATTTTTCGTTTGGTTTCTTTGCTGGCCTTATTTCTCATTTGCTCTTACTGCTTCCGCTGTTTTTCTTCTAGAAGTAACTTCATTGGTGTTGATGTCATTATTTCGGAATGTTGTTTCCTGTTGCTTTTATGATTGGATCTTATATTTCCAACTAAGTCATCTTTTGAGCATCTTGGTAGTAAAATTATGTCAACAAAAGATATTTCAAACTTGTCATGTGTCGAACTTTCTTTATTCCCCTTAACTTCCTTATTATTCTTATCCTTATCTAATCCACTTTTTTTCGCTTGGTCTAGTGTTTTTTTATCTTTTTCTTCTATAAAAGATTCACCTAGACCAACGTCTTCATCGGTAAAATTTTCATGGAATGGAATTGGATGGAAACTTAGAGCTGATATCTTGCAAAATTTTATAACGAAAAAAGGACCGAGTTGAATTAGATACACTTATCAGAAATTATAATCTTCGACAATGTGAAAATAGACTATTCAAAACTCGACTAATTTCGCGACACCCTCGGAGGACATTTTTGGACCCAAACTTTTGGAAACCATTGCTACAGCTATGGACAATGAACAATATTATTATTACATGTCTAATACAGAGTCACACTGTACACAGAGAATAATTCTAACATCTCACTCTCTTCTCTGATTAAGGTTTCGCTCGAAGAAATCCGATTATTTTTTCTCTTCAGTACAAAATAAAGCGTTGGTGTCGATAGCATTATTAAACGGATTTTTATTATTTTTTTCTCTAGTGACAAAACTGATACCCAAGTAAAAATGTGTGTGTATTTGCAACGCAATTTCGTCGGTGGGTGGAAAGTTAAAGTGGGAAAAAGTGTCAATAACGAGACATTTTTTAGACGTAAATAGGAAAGTTGGGTAAGTAAAAAATATATAAATATTTATTGTGCGCTGTATAAAAATATCAATAAGTGATTTTAAAATAATACTAAATATTGTAAAATTTGCTCAATACTTTCATTCCAATGTTAATCATCAGAAAATCGTAACAGCCGGATTATATCCAGCTTTTTTTCTGAGGTTTTTAAATTGGTATTTTTTTATAAAATATATTATGTTTTTGTAATACTGTATGCAAAAAAGTGATGTATACAGCATTACCAACATTTCTACTTTTCGGCCACTTTTGTAATGAAGGAAGAGGGTGGTTTTTACCAAATTTTAGTATATCATTAGTTTAGTATATCATTTAGTATACCTTAACAAGTAGCCTACAGCTACAACTATTTTTAGCCCTCTAAGTGTAAAGTTTGTTTGGCAGTAAATAGTTGAATTCATTTAGTATCCGCTATAAACATACTGGGTTAACCGATAATAGTATAAAAGGCCCGATTTCAGGTAACAATGGTTTACCGGAGATACAAGAATGGGCCAAGTCAGATAAATTTAATAATATTTACGACAGCACTAATTAAAATCAACCATTTTCTGCTAAACAAACTTTACCTGCCCTATAGCTTAAATATATTTCTTTTTAACCTATATTTGAAGAGCTATTTTTCTGGCCTTTGAGCCTAATCGACCGATTTTAACTTAAAATAGACCTGCCACAGACAGGACAAAAAGGATGTTAGAAACAGCAGAGATGAAAACACGTAGAAAAATTGATGGTTAGACACTATGGGACAGAGCTAGAAGTACCGATATAAGACATATATGCAAGGTGAAGAACATCAAAAACTGGGTAAGAAATAGAAAAGTAGAATGGAACGATCATATAAGCCAAATGACAACAAATAGAGTAGTAAAGACGGCAAGAGACAGTTCCCCAATAGGAAGACGATCAGTAGGAAGACCACGAAAACGATGGAATGACAACTTAGTGAAGGTACATTGAAAAACAGACAGAGTCATATTGTTCTGAAGCTATTTTCTTATGGCATTGTAAATTAATTACTATTAAACTGGGAATAAGCCACAATTAAAGATAAAAATACGTTTATTGACGTTTTAATTTTCAATTTTCAATAAACGTATTTTTATCTTTAATTGTGGCTTATTCCCAGTTTAATAGTAATTAACAGACAGAGCCATGTCTATATAAAAAGAAGAAGAAGAAAACCCGTTAAAAGTTATAAGTTTAAATTTATTTTACATTTTTTTTGAACCTATTCTCTATCCTTCCATTGTTGGATATAAGTCTCCCCCAGTTCTCTCCATCTTTCCCTATCTTGAGCTGTTCTCTGCCATGTGGGACCTCCTTGTTTCCTGATGTCATCTTTCCACCTCATCTGTGGTCTGCCTCTCGATCTCTTTGCATTGTATGGACGCCACTTTCCGATGGCATTGTTCCATCGTCCGTCTTGGAGACGTTCATTGTGTCCAGCCCATTTCCATTTCAGTTTTGCTGCTTGTTCTATCGCGTCTACTGTCTTTGTTCTGGTTCTGATCCACTGGTTACGTTTTCTATCTCTAAGTGATACACCCAACATTTGTCTCTCCATCGCTCTTTGTGCCTTCCTTATCCTATCCAAATTGGCCTGTGTAAATGTCCATGTCTGTGCTCCGTAGGTGAGCACCGGTATGATACAGGAGTTATATACCTTACTTCGTAAGTATGGAGGGATTGTTTTATTTTTTAGAACGTAAGAAAGTTTGCCGAACGCTGCCCATCCCATTCTTACTCGTCTCGATATTTCGGCTGTTTGATTTTCTCTATTAGCTCTGATTGCTTGTCCTAGATAGATATACTCATCTACCTGTTCTATTTTTTCTGTTTTTATTTTTATTACCTCTTGGTCTTCCGTGTTTGTCATTACTTTTGTTTTGTTGAAGTTAATTTTTAGGCCTTTTTGCAGTGATTTTTCATGAAGTTCATTCAGCATTAATTCCAGTTCTTGTCGTTCCGAGGAGATCAGGAGTATATCATCCGCATATCTAAGGTGATTTAGGTATTTTCCGTTAATACATATTCCTCTGTTTTCCCAATCTGTTGATTTTATTATGTCTTCGAGGTTCAAGGTAAACAGTTTAGGTGAAATTATATCGCCTTGTCGGACTCCTCGTTTAACTTTTATATTATCCGTTATTAATTCAAGATACCGACAATTGATACATGATTTATTTTACATTATTCGATCTTATATGTTAAGATGTTAAAGTTACCAGTAGATTTGAAGTTGCTGGTCCTGAAAGAAGTGTCTACTAGGACTTGATGATAGCAACTGATTGAAATCAATTTGATGATTCCATGTGGAGTCTCCATCAAACAACATGTGTGAATGCTTACCATGATTAAGTAAGGAGAGGTCTACTATTGGTAAAAAAACTGTCCAGGAAGGTGTCTGGCATATTTTTATGGGCGCTAAGGTGATTTGATTGATATAAAACGACAAATCTAGTCGCGAAATACCA